TTCTATGGTCTCGGCGTTAGCGTTTGTAGCGTTGGCCGCGGACGTATCTTATGGTGATGGTGTTTCAACGTTATCGCGTTCGTTGCGAGTTTCGTTGTCACCCGTCATCGTTTCTTTGTTGGACATGTTGCGGCTTCGGTGTAAGATAGATCCGAGCCCCCCCTCCTTTTAGCGCCAAACTGTGGGAACCGAAATCCACCTACTGTCTATAAATCGTAAAAAAGGAAACTTCGGGAAAACCCTAAGTTTCCAGAGGAACCGGCTATCTGCAGAACCGCACAACGAAGATTAAGAAAATGATAAACTTAGAATCTAAAAGAGAATAACGAAATTGAGAGTAAAGAGGTTCTTATTCCGAATCTGCGTAAGAACTGGTACAAAAAGAGTAGCCGAAAAGCCTAAGAACGAAAAACCCTAGTTGAGACGCAGCTCGCTTACAGAAAACGGAAATATTCCTAAATGCTAATTTTGGTGGTGAGAGCTCTGAAAATCGTGTGTCTGCTTCAGCCCTATGCCTACTGCTTATATACTCCTTCTTAGGCGGTTTTAGTCTTTCCATTTCGCCCGAAACCAAATATATCGGGAATTTTCCATTTCTGTCGATCCTTCCTTTTCTTCCGCGGAAATCTTCTATTTATCTTCAAACTTGCCTTTTGTCTTCTGTCTGCGAGTAAACCATCAAAACGTTATCGTATCTTCGGGTTTGATTTCGTTAATATCGCGAGATGGGTTTTTATCGTGTTTTAGGATCTTTCGGGCAGTTTTACGATAAAAACCGTTTACGACTTTATACGAGATCGTTTCCTGATCCGATGCCGTTTTTACGATTTTCTCGACGTTTTTTTATTAAAAACGCGTTTTTATGATCTTAACGAAAAATCTCGGATAAATCGTACAGTTTAGGCGATGTTCGGTGTCTTGCTTAACCGTTGCCGTTTTATACGATTTTTTCGAGTTATTTTCGAGAAAGCGGAGTTTTACGGTTTTTATCGTAGAATTCGAACGCTAAGTCTGATCGAGACGAAACGAGAGACATTTCGGCCACGGTTCAGAATGTGACCGTGTCGAAGGACGTAAGGTTGGAATCGGGGATGCGGGAGATCCGGGAGATCTCTAGTTCGCCTGCTGGAAAACTAAGCCGAGCTGGCTTCGTTCGCCAGCAGGCGAACTAGTCGGAGAGTGCCTAGTTCGCCTGCTGGCGAACTAAGCCAGCTTGGCTTTGTTCGCCAGCAGGCGAACTAGTTGGAAGCTTCTAGTTTGCCTGCTGGTAAGCCAAGCTGGCATAGTTCGCCAGCAGGCGAACTAGTCGGGGACCGTCTAGTTCGCCTGCTGGCGAACTAGTCGGGAAGCTTCTAGTTCGCCTGCTGGCGAACTAGTCGGGAAGCTTCTAGTTTGCCTGCTGGCGAACTAAGCCAGCTTGGCTTAGTTCACCAGCAGGCGAACTAGTCGTGACTAGTTCGCGTTTTGTGGCGGTTTCGGTTTTTCGCGGTTTTGTAAAACGACTTCTCGAGTTTTATAAAACGATTCTCGAGTTTTATAAAACGATCTTGGAGTTTTATAAAACGTCTTCTCGAGTTTTATAAGACGATCTTCGAGTTTTATAAAATGGCTTCTCGAGTTTTATAAAACGATCTTCGAGTTTTATAAAACGGCTTCTCGAGTTTTATAAAACGATCTATAAAAAACGGCTTCTCGAGTTTTATAAAACGATCTTCGAGTTTTAGAAAATGATCTTCAAGTTTTATAAAACGACTTCCCGAGTTTTATAAAACGATCTTCGAGTTTTATAAAACGATCTTCGAGTTTTATAAAACGACTTCTCGAGTCTTATAAAACGATTTTCGAGTTCTATAAAACGGCTTCTCGAGTTTTATAAAACGATTTTCGAGTTTTATAAAATGATCTTCGAGTTTTATAAAACGGATTCTCGAGTTTTATGAAACGATCTTTGGGTTTTATAAAATGACTTTGAGTTTTATAAAACGACTTCTTGGGTTTTATAAAACTATTCCTTTTGTATTCTTGCGGCGAATTTTGGCTATTGATTCCGTCGTACCAATTTTTACCCCAACAGTGGTGTAATCAAGCGCCATGCCAACATGTTCTTCATTGCATCAGTGATATGCTTCAGAGTCAATCCATCAATGATTCAACACGATCAATGAAAAGCCTACCAACATACTTCATAATAAAGTGTCTTCGCTGAGAGATTCGGTCTCCCACTGAGCATGTATGTGTTTCCACATACTTTGTTACCTAAAACGTGTTTGTCCCATGTTTCACACTCGCTCTGATCTTCCATCCACAACCACTAACCCGCATGTTGCCACAAGGAGAGTTTTCGTTGACTTGTATATTCTGAAGGAGAACTTACGCCTCACTACTGTCAACAGCAGCTTTGAAAGCAGTGCATCCCTGCTAACAAAACTCTGGTTGACATAGATACTGTCCATTCGATCTTCCTCCTTCAATAGCATATGTCTTTTTGAAATCTTCAAAACATATATCATCATTTTCTTTCTCATCCTCATCTTTAACCTTTCCATAAACACTGTAATCCTCACCATTCTCGTCCGCTTCAGCAACAATAGAGATATAAGCATCCTCCTCCCCATTATCCTCCTCCATATCATGATTTTAATCTTCAACCAAATCATTATCATCATCTTCAAAACATTCATCAGCTTCATCAGCTTCTTCCCTTTCCTCTGAAACAATTTCCACCTTGCTACGGTTTGATACACAAAGCTGTACTCCATGCGTTTTGGTTATCTCGAGCAAGTTTCGAACTTGTCTATCACTTGTAACATGAATATGAGGGATGTATGGATCCATCAGTTAAATCATTTCTACTGGTAGTGAGTAGGTTATCTCCACAGATTATGTGTTCATGTCCAGGTTATAATCTTCTTGAGCCATTGCAGCAAGTTTAGCATGTTCAAACCTTCACTTAAAAAATACAGTCTCGCTCCTTTTAAATTATCAACCACAAAATCCTAACAGCCATATTTGAACAACCATTCTCTATACACTTCATGTAACTGATGCATCATCTGCAAAAATTTAAAATAAAATGCATTAGTAAACATAGAGAAAATGAAAGTTTACTAAATATCGACGCATACGACATACCAGTAAATCGTCCGGAGACTTAGATGACTTGCCAGTAAGTCGTCCAAACAAGCCATTTAGGCAATTGACTTTTCAATGGGAAAACTTACTTGTAAGTTGTCCAGTTTTGTTTGTGAAAATAAAAATTCTAGACGACTTACCACTAAGTCATCTAGGATAAACGGGTTTAGTTTTGCATTTGACCGAATTGTGTCAATTATTTGACTTTTCATGTGCAACTTACCAATAAATCGTCTCTGGAGAAACAAAAATTTCAATATTTTATTAAAGCTAGACGACTTATCTGTAAGTCGTCTCAGGTTAGTTTACAATTCGAAAATAAAACTTAAATATTTTACTTTTCCCAGACGACTTACTTGAAAGTCGTCCAGTTAGATGACTTACGAGAAAGTCGTCCGAGATAAGCAAGGTTTGACCAGAATCTCGAAAAAAAATTTGGACGACTTTGCTTATCCTGGACGACTTTCAAGTAAGACGGACGACTTTCAAGTAAGTCATCTGACTGGACGACTTCCATGTACGTCGTCTGGGAAAATTTAAATATTTTATTTTTATTTTACAATTGCAAAACTAACCTGAGACGACTTATAGATAAGTCGTCTAGCTTTAATAAAATATTGAATTTGTTTTTCCCAAAAAAGAAGTCGTCCAGAAAAAGTCAAATAACTGACACAATTCGGTCAAATGCAAAACTAACCCGTTAATCCTAGAAGAATTACTGGTAAGTCGTCTCGGGTATTCTCTAGCTTTTTTTTAACAAAAAAAGATGACGACTTAGAAGTAAGTCATCCGTTTGATCAGAAGACTTATCCGTAAGTCTTCTACAGCCAGACGACTTATAAGTAAGTTTTCTATGCGGACAAATCTGTCAAAAATTTCAATTTCATACCTTAAACTAATGAGATGACTTCTTTAGCACACAGAGTATTCTCCAACGACCCAGAACCTCAAACGAAAGTAACCCACCAAGAATAGTAAGCTTCAAGGGCTCTGTCAACCATAAAAAAATTTGAATCAAAAGCTTGTCTTTTTTTGGATGAATATGGAGATAAACTGAAAGAGACATTGTTTTTGGTTCATAACAATTGAGAAAGAGAGTGTAAATCAATTTCAGGTGCACTAAGAGCTTCAAATTGGTTGTTCATGGTGGCTAGGTTATTGATGGTAATGACAATCTTGTAAATACTTGAAGATGATGAGGTTGAGAGAGTAAAAAAAAAACTATTTTCGAAAATAATAAAAATTTAACGATATTTTCGTAAATAATGTGAGCAGTTGGGGTGAATAAGACAAAGAAAAAAAAAGTTAGTTTTGTGTTGGACTTTGAGTTTTGAGTCAAATTTGCAAAAAGTCCATTTTTTAATCGTAATATCGTTAGTTGGGTTTCTTTTAGATATCGACAAATTTTATAAATATTGTTTAGTTATAATTTGTAATAACTATACAATTTTTATATGAATTTTTTTAATAATATTATATAAGTTTATTTAATACATTTAATCAAACTAAATAGATAAAAAAATCTAAGATTCGAATTTTAAATATATTACATATATTATTAAATATAATTTAAAATATAAAAATTTAATTTTTTTCTTAATTTTGTGTTTAATGAAATCAAATTTATATTAAGTATTAGTTAAAATAATAAAATATACAATATTAATATATTTTATTCTAAATATAATTTAACTTTTCAAAAGTTTATCACTGTACATGCTATGGAAAAACACCTAGTTGTATATATATATCCTGCACGTTTTAATGTAATAAACTAATTCAGCCATTTATCTTAGAGTTTTTTAAAGATGATTCAAGTTAAGAAAATATATAATTCCAACGATTCACCGTCTTCCAAAATTTTCTCTACAGATTTTTATAAAAAAATATTATTTTCTGTGGACAATGTACTCTAGCTTCTTCACCTTCTATTACAGATAACAGTGTCAGAGCCCAAACAACCTAGCTAAAAAAAAACACAAAGAAAATGTCTGTTTTCTTACGCGGAGGAATCGCCGGAGGATTTTTTCTCCGTAGTCGTGACTACTCAGCCGTCATCACAAAACGAAGAATCTCATCATTTGGAGCTGTAACCGGACGAAGCGTCAATCCAACGGCAGCCACTGAACAACGTGCCACATGGCTACCTGGTCTCGAACCTCCTCCTTACCTTGACGGAAAGTGAGTTCTGTTTCTGTCTTTTCTTTACAAACAAAAAGATTTTTGACCAAATCTTTTGTTTCTTGAATTAAAAAGGTTAGCTGGAGATTACGGGTTTGACCCACTCGGGTTGGGAGAGGATCCGAAAAACTTGAAATGGTATGTTCAAGCAGAGCTTGTTCATGCTCGTTTCGCCATGCTCGGTGTTGCCGGAATACTCTTCACCGATGTAATCTTCAAGTTATATCCTCAGCTTTGAAATGTTATAACCTCACCAAGAAAATGGTTAATCAAGAGCTTTGTTTTGGTTGTCTATAGCTACTTCGTACCACAGGAATTAGCAACTTACCTGTTTGGTACGAAGCTGGAGCAACGAAATTTGATTTTGCCAGCACGAAGACTCTCATTGTTGTACAGTCTCTACTTATGGGGTAATATAAGATAATTTGAGCTGTATATAATACTAGAAATAAGAATGAGCCTATTTTGCTTCACAGGTTTGCTGAGATCAAAAGGTATATGGATTTCGTCACACCAGGATCACAAGCCGCAGAAGGATCTTTCTTTGGACTTGAAGCAGCACTGGAAGGGCTTGAGCCCGGGTAATTATTCTTTCATGATTCTCTTTACTTTGTTTATACACTGTGTAGATTAGATATTCAGTTGATTTTGGCTTTCAGATATCCTGGAGGACCGCTCTTGAATCCACTAGGCCTTGCTAAGGATATCAAGAACGCTCATGACTGGAAGCTTAAGGAGATCAAGAATGGTAATAGATATCACTTACCGAGTTTTCATTTGGTTTCTTCAAACTTTCTGTGTGACATTTTAACAGGTCGTCTAGCTATGATGGCAATGCTAGGGTTCTTCATTCAAGCCTCTTTAACCCACACTGGTCCTATCGATAACCTTGTCGAGCATCTCTCTAATCCATGGCATAAGACCATCATTCAAACCCTCTTCACCTCTGCCTCTTAATTACATTTCATGTAGCAAATTTAATATAGTGCTGGAGAAGTGTATCAGTTACCTTTATTTCATTTAAGAGTACAACAAATCTAACCAACAATCTTAAATGTTCCACTGCTGCCTCTCAATAAATCCTCTTTTAACGTTCATCATAACAAAATAAAAATCGAATGTGGAAGAACCGAAAACCACCTGTAATAAACTGGAGTTTGGTTCACTTATTCGATTTCTTTCTTGACAAGAACATGAAGACTTTTGGTAGCAAAGAAAACTTCTTCTTTTTCTTCTTTGTTTCAGGTGCCACATTACTACTATCTCCAACATTGTTGCTTCCTTGTTCACCAAATGCAAATGATTTTGCTGAATGTAAAGCCGATTTCGACTTGCCTAAGTCATGATTCTCCTTTTCCCCACCCTCTGGACTAGTCTTGGGGCTCTTTGTCCCGTTCTCTGAACTCCATTTTCGCAACTCGTGATCCATACCAACCTTCACATCTCTGGCCTTCTCTACATTCCCCATTGCTTCTTTTAGCTTTTCTTTTTGTAAAGCTGTTTCTCTATTCACTTCCTCAAGCTTTTCCAAGACTCTTGATTCCTCTTCCTTAGCCGCCTCGATCTGAGAGACTATCTCTGCTAATTTTCTGTTTGCTGCTTCCTCTACCTCATGCGCCTTCTTGCTTAGCTCATAATACTCCTCCACTGATATTATTATGTTTCTTGGTGAACTACTAACGTCTTCAATATTCTTACAACATTCAGTCTCCTGCAATGCTTTTATCGCAGCCAAGGCCAACTTCTCAGAAGCTTTTGCAGCTTCCATTTCCCTTTTCGCCTCAGTTAACTGACTTTCTATTGCAGAGACTCCTGTCCTCGCTTCATCTGACTCTTCCTTCGCCTTTCTCAGCGCCTCTCGAGCAGCTAAGGCAAGTGACTTTGCCTCCTCTACTTCCTTGTTCGCTTCTTGCAACTTCTTGGCTATTTCTGCGGATCTCTCCTCTCTTGATTTTTCACTGTTTCTCTGAACTGAAAGAGCTTCTCTATGTTTGGTTTCAGAGAGATCTTTCTTCTCTCTTTCAAGTTCAGACTGTAATGATCCAACAATTATCTTCAAAGTTTTCACCTCAGAATTTGCTTTCTCGATGTTGGATTTAACTTCTTCAAGCTCCTTCCTGGCGGAATCAACCGCTGCTTGGATGTCACTGTTGTTTCTCTTATCGTTTGAGTCTTTGTAAGCTGGTATCTCGGCCCTCAGGTCTTGCTGAAGTATAGAAGCAGTCTCTAGTTTGATTTTCACATCATCTGCCGCATGAATCTCTTGTCTAAGCCTCTCGATCTCCTCTTCCACCATTTTCAGCTCCTTTTCGCGGTTATAAAGGTCCTGGTCCCGAGCCATGGCAGCATCAAAGTTCTTCTCTTCAGCTTCGAGATGAGCCGCTTGAGCTGATTCTAATAACTGCTTAGTGGCAATCACATCTATTGCCAAACTTGTCATTTGTTTCTCTACATCTTTTGCTTCCAAAACAGAGTCCTCTGCTCTCTTCTCTGCCAACTCTTTTTCTTTCAACAGAGATTCATACTCATTACTGACCATTTCTATCTCCTCTCTTAAGTTTCCTAGCTCAGAAACCGCTGACAAATGCCTCGCTTGAGCCACCTCGAGCTGTGTTTTGGCTGCTATGCTCGACTCCTCAGCTATCCCTTGCTCCATTTCCTCCACACGCAGCTTCGCAAGATCAGAGTCTTGTTTCGCTTGTTTCTCCTCTAGCTCGGCCTTTTCTAGCTCAAGTTTTAGCTCTTCGACAATACTCCTGGTCCTCTCAAGCTCCATCACCACCTGCTCCTTAGCCTCTTCTGCTACTACCGCTTGTTTCTTGTACTCAGGCATATCCTCCTGTATCTTCTCAAGATCTTGATCCACCGTCTTTCGTCTCTGGAGACAATCATACTATTCTTAAATAATGACCAAAAGAACCAAGGGACGTTTGAAACTTGGAAAATAAATAATAATGGAACCCAAAAGCATTTTATTACCTCTATTGTCTGAATTTTATTTGCTTTCCAATCTGTGATCCCACCAAACTTGGAAACTGCATCCTTGACGGATTCGAATGGTGCAGTCGTATCGATCAAAACAGGACTCGTGGGTGATCCAAAACGTGGGGATCCAGAAGTTCTCGGATGCACAAAAGCTCTTGGTGAACCAGGAACTTTAAGACGTGTGAGACCGACATCTTGGCTTCCTCTAGGTGACTCCGGTAAACTAATCCTTGCATCTTCTATGATGTCGGTTTGAGAGTCTAGAGGAAACGAGTCCTCATGGTTTATCATGACCCTTGGCGCAATGTAAACCTTTGGAGACTCTGCTTCAACAAACAAATGTTGATCTTCTTGAGGTGGAGCATGCACAGATTCAAGAAATGGATTGTGGTCTGGTAAGAGATTTGGTGTCTTTCGTCCATCTTCCAAGTTTAAGAGATCAAGAATAGATGAATCGAATTCCATACTGTTATTGAAAGGGGTCGAGGAATCATCATTGAGATCAGGAAGTAAAGAAAAGTTATTGGAAACTTTATCATCATCCACCATTGTCACGCAACTGCAAATTACTCACCAAAATTTAAGAATAACAAAGATCAAGATATGAATCTTGTTCCTTGCATTCGTTAATCAAAATAACAAATGTCGAACCTTCACTAAACATGCAACAAAATGCGAGACGAATCTTCTGGGCAATAAGGGAGAATAAATTTTAACTTTTGAAGATAGATTAACCCCTAATCCTTAGATTATCTGAAAATAAAAACGATTGAGAAAATAGTTTTAGGGAAAGCTACAGAAGAGAAAATCATCATCAGAAAAGATTTCAAAATAGAAAAAACAATAACACCATTAAGGCGTGGAAGGCACGCCTCTCCTCCACATCTGTTGGTTCTTAAATCAAATTGTGTATATTGTAAATCCAACATGTGTTCTTATGTTGATCTATTGAAATAGTTTGATTTATTTTGGGGTCAACAAAATATAATGAAGTTTTTAGGTCAACGAGATATAATGGATTTATAATTAATATGGTTGAATTTATATTTTATCAGTTACCATATCCTTCAGTCAAACGGAAAAAGACGCATTTCAAGTTTGACTCAATTAACGAATGTACCTGTTAAATCAATTAAATACAGTAATTTAATAGAAGAGGAATTACACTTCATAAAGAAGAATTGAATCACGATAAAAGTTTGACTGCACGATTTCTTTTATAAATATACTAGGTCCGGCCCGCTCGTACCCCGCCCTACGGGCGGGTTCTACTTCACATTTGATTTCGGTTATTATGTTTCATATTGTTTGTACAAATTAAATATTTTTTATCATTTCTTTATTTCTATATGTGTAGTCTTTAACCTCTCTAATTTAGATTATTGTTATTTGGGTTGAATTTCTCTTGTACTGATTAGTAAATTAGGAAAAATGATTTAATTTTTGTGAGAGATAATATGAATAGTTTTATAAAAATAAGATATTCTTATTTTTTAAAAATCGAGAAAGTATTAACTGCAATATGTATTATTTTTAATATTTAAAAATTTAAAGGGAACAATTAAGTCAGAGAATTCTTCTTGTGCATTGTTTAAAACAACATGTTTTTATTTGTAACGAATACACTGGAAATATGAAATTATTTGTTTATAATGGTATAAACGTGACAAATTAATTATTATAGTATTGAAACATGTTGTCTACGATATTGTGACCCTGCATGTTGGACATCTGATGTTCATTCGGATCCAGTCAACAATGCATTGGTGATGATATATATGGTAGCATTTCAGTTCATTTATAGAATCACCACTTACAATTTTCTCCATGCATATTGTGCACATTTCATTTTTTTCCATGAGTGAGGGTTCTCTTATCAGAATGGAGGTTTGTTGTAGCAATGTCGACGTCAATTCTGTGGATTGCAATCTGTCAGATGTAATATGATGTGTACACTCTTCTCTTCTATTTGTCTGACAGCCTGACGTGGAAAGCGTAAATCTTTCCTTCCATGCGTGTAATAAACAGAGGCATCGGATAATCCTTGGGGTTCACACCATTGCCAACCTAGGAAAGCAAAAATCAGTAGTGTAAGTATAGGGTAGACGATCATCTGAATAACAACTACGAACAAAACTAACCAATTCCTGACCAGCCTCACATGCTCCGACCCTATGCAACTTGGTCATAACACCATCAAAACATAAAAAAAAACCTTCACCAGTGATATCAGCGACCGAAAGCTCTACTCGGTAGCTGAAATTATAATAACATCTTAGTGGAATCCAGAAAAGGTCTAAGATAAATGCATGGTGTAGCCTAATTCATACCGTAGAGCACCAGCAGCATTAGTATTCTCGTATCGCATACATGTGAAACTACAATTAGTGCGCTGGAGTTCCCTGCTACATCTAGAGCAAGCTACATAGGACCACCCTTTCTCAGAGTTGATCCGAGTGACTCTACCTATGCACAAAAACTCAGTTTCCTACATAAGCATTAGAACAATATAGTCAGGGCCAAAGATAACTAAAAAGACATCAACACGATAGTAAATATACCTCAGAGGGATGGAGGACTGCGAAGCTGTTGGCCTCAGCTATTGTCAGTTGCTCAACTTCTGGAACCTCTCCTAGTAACAGCTTCGTTAATGCGAGACCAGCCCCCCTAGCGTTCAAACTACATACACATTTGGAAATGTTTCGCATTATAATGAAGCTAGTTTGGGAGATGGTATACATACAACTTACCAAGTTAGCAAGTCATGCTCAACGCTGGTTATTTCGTCAAAAAAATCTGTGTCCACGGAGTGGCATTGACAAACAAACGGCCTATGTCGTAGCAGGTTGTCAATCAGTATATATTTCAAACATGAAGCAAACTTACGAACGTAATATCACTAGAAAATCACTACCTCCAACAATTCTCGGACATACGTTTGTTGCAACAACCACTCTTGGACCAAGACTCATGGATTCAAGACTTCTGTGGAATGAGATTGCTCCAGAGTCGAAAAGACTTAATATAACAGAATCTCCGCTGAAATTAACAGGTAATTAGTTACACCGAGTAAACATATCTAGCTACATATAAATGAAGTCGTTAGGAGTAAGAGTAACTTATCCATCTTCACTGTCACCATGACGTGGTTTTTGCCTTTCAGCGGCTCTTTGACGGTACTCCTCACACCGGTTATCTCACCGACAATATCTGTAAGAAGTCTATATTACTAGCGTTATATGAAATTTCGTTTGTGGTTAAACAAATACATTATATGAAATTTCGTTTGTGGTTAAACAAATACAGTTACCCGGGAGCCGACGGTTTGTGTTAGCTAGTAGACCCAACTCAGCTGCATTACAGAAGCGGAAAGCTTCTTCAGGAACTGTTTGCGACGGGTTGGTTAACTCATAGAAACACGTCGACGCATTGAAACGAATGACCAGGAAGGAGTCAGTAAGCATGAACTTCTGAGCACACGGGGCCACGTCAAACCCAGTAAGATAATACATCAACCCAGCGGTGAGCATAGGCCTGAAGGATGGAAGACGATCATGATTGATTTTTGCTGGCATAATGGTCCCCTGTGTAATAGCAAGCATATATCAGAATCAGATACGAATATTGGAAACGCATTAACAGTCTACGATGGTAAGATAAAATTAAAATTATTTGCGCAACTTTAAGGGGGAAAAAAACGGAATGAGATTTATCAAGTAAGAAATCTTAAAGACCCAACATGACATACATCCGACGACAAATACAAAGCTAGGAACGGATCTTAAGAACTCATAAAGGTTAGCAGAGATAGGAATCTATTATATGGAAACAGAGACGAATATTGAGAACCCTTTTTTTTTAAAAAAATAAAAAACTTAGCAGAGACGAATATTGAGAACCCATTTTTTCTATTATATAGAAACAGAGACGAATATTGAGAACCCATTTTTTTTTAAAAAAATAAAAAACTTAGCAGAGACGAATATTGAGAATCCACTTTTTTAAAAAAATAAAAAAACTTAGCAGCCATAAGAATACCGATACAGATGTAGAGACAGATAAGAACTCATAAAAGTAGCAGATTTAGGGTTCGTACGTTTCCATCGATTAGTAGCAGATCAATGAAGGTAATCTCCACCCCACGCCTCGTACGCCGTCCCTCATGGAACCGGAGAAGCCGTGTCTGAACTCCGGGTGAGCCCCTGCCGATGGTCAACCCAGAAAAGAAAACGTTTGAAATAGTCATCTGGAAGGTTGTGGTGAAAAGTATGCGAAAGGGATGGACTTACATGCTTTTATCTGCAGGAGAACATTGATGCTCACCGAGTTAATTCATCAATTAACGCCGGCGGTTTCAGGAATATGGAGAGGAGGACACCAATCGTCGACTGTTTCTGTGAGAAAGAAGACAACATGGCTTTCCAAAGAAAACAAAAAAGCCCAAACGCAAATAACTGTGGCCCAGACGAATTTGGCCCAAACCAGTTGCTGATGTGGACTTTCCAGCCTGGCCCTGACGTGTCATAGCTAAGGAGGAGAGATGCTTTTCTTTATATAATAGATACTAGGGTTGATCGGACCTACAGACGGGAAGTTATAGTAAAAACTATTTTAGATAAATTTACAATAATTGTATGAAGAGTTTTTTTTTTAAAAAAAAAGTAGATCGAAGTGATACTATAAACAAATAAATACTGAATAAGTTGGAAAAAATACTGAATAGAATTCTCAAATCATTTTTTAATAAACACTAGAATTTGATCCGAGCAACTGCGCGGATGTTTGTTTTCACTTTTATATACATAAATATTTTTTTTAGAACATAAATGCTATATATTTTTAACCTTAATCATATATTTAAATGTTTATATAACTATTTCATATACAATAATTTTATAATTTACATGTTATATTAATCAATTGTTAAAATTCATATGTATTTGTCACTTCTTATTATATATTTATCTTATTGTATTTGCATTTAATTATTAAGAAAATTAATATATTCATTAGAAAATATATTTCAAAAATAAAAATATTTTATATTTAATTTATGGTAAATTCTGACCCGATCTTCAAAGCTGGATTTTCTTTAACCAATATTTTATGTTTATTCATTTAGATAATATATAATTGTATATAGAAAAGTCTAATTTAAGGCCGTTCTATCATCATATTTTAAAAATAAATAGTTTATATTTATTAAAATAAAATTTATAAATTTAAAGTTAATATACTTTTATCATATTTAGTTGAATAATATAATTATCTTTTAACATGATGATTATGACTATGATATAAATCAAATATGATATAATTTAAATTTTTCATTTTATAACGATAACATAAAATACATTAACTTATTATAAAATATTTTAGCACAGATTTATCAAATTTTTTAAAATTTAACATAAAAATATATATTCCTATTTAAAATGAATAGATATCATGATTAAAGTAGTTATAAAAGTTTTATATTATTAGCTTTAATGAAATACATGTTAATTATGTACGTGTATTATATATTTTGCTAATGTTAACCCGTCTTATCAACATATTAAATTTTATTTTTGAAAATAAATATTTTCTACTTACAAAAATAAAATATATAAACTTATTAATTCAATGAAATTTTATTATATTTAGCTTAATTTAATAAATTTCTTTTAATATGATTGCTTTTGATTATATAATAGATAATATGATATAATTTTTATTTTTTATTTTTTATTTTATAAGTTTAACGGAATAGATTAATGTATAATAATATTTCAAACTAATTTCGAAATTAGTGAAAATATTTAAAGATAATATGAAAATGAAGATCTTATAAAAATATTTAAAACAGATTTGTTAGAATTTAAATAAATTTATTTATATTTAAAATGAAAAGATATCAAAAGATATTATGATTAAAGTATTTTAAAGGTTCTATATATTATTAGTTTTAATGAAATACATATAAAGAAAGTTTCTAGTGATGGTCCATTTTTTTAAAGAAAATCACACATAAATCAAAGTCATGACTTTTTTTTTAATATATAAGATGTTTGGTTTGAATTAAAGTGACAGTAATCTTCATTATTTTCTATTTTTAGAGAATAAAAATTAGCAAAAATAAAGAAAATGTAATAGTATATATATATCTTCCTATTGTTATTTCACTTTGACATGATAAAAAAACCCTAGCTCCTCTGATGGCGATCTTTAGGCGACGGCGATCAAAATTCTGAAAACTCTATAAATCTGTTCTGATCTCTCCTTGGAGATCGAATTACATATCACAACAAATCGATCCTTGTTGTTTGTCTGTGCCTGAAGCAATTTCCGGTTTCTTTCCATTCACGTCTCGAGTCTAAACGTGTATTCCTCTTTTTTATCATATCTTTGTACGACAGACGTTAACAATGGCGTTTACCAAAGGCAAAGGTATCCTTCACGAGGAAGATGACGACGAGCCTATTCAGTTACCGGATCAAGCCAATGAAGAACTCATAAAAGAATACAGTTTGTCTCTTATTGGCAAGATATTAAATCCAAAAAAATCAGAATGTGGAACGCCTTATTGTGGCTATGCCGGAGCGGTGGGGATTGTCAGAGAAGATCTCTGCCTGTGATCTGGGTAATGGTAGATTCTTATTTAACTTCGACAACGAGGAAGATCTTAATTCTGTCCTCAGTCAAGGGCCATTTCATCATAACTTTTGTATGTTTGTTATGGTTCGATGGGAGCCGATCATAGATGAAAACTACCCGTCAATGGTTCCATTCTGGATTCAACTTCAAGGATTAAAATAAATTACACAATTACATTAATCATATAATAAAAATCTAGATTTGTTTTTGTGTATGTTGTATTTCAAATTTTTCAAAATGAGTATAAATTACTAAAATTGTTAAAAGTCCCACATAAACTTTTAGGATCAAGGTTTTATTTTTTTATATATATATTAAATATAATGATTATAAGACCATATGAAGAAATAATTTTAGTTTATATATATTTCATATCGTTTTAATTAAACTATACATCGTATGAAAATACATACTTATATTTTGATATTTGCCTTGAACATATTTTGAAAAGTTAATATTTTAATTTTCAAATATGTCATTTTTTTTAAAATGATTATAAATTATTGAAACTACTAAACATCTCACATTAAAAAAATCGTTGGTGTAAAGTTTTGTTACAAAAATATGCAAATAATCATAAAATCCTATGAGTAGAAACCTCATTTAATAAATATCTATATTAAAAGTGTGCTATATTACTATGTTTATATCATTTAAATTTAATTATATATCATAGAAAATATATAAGATTGATTATTTTGATTTATTTACCGTAATTGCGAATAAACAAGACTGATAGTTAAATTTATATGCATACGCCAATTTATTACATAATAGTAACTGATTTCTTAGTTATTTAATATATATATTTATTATTTTATTATTTTATAATATGCAGAAAAATATAAAATAAATAATAAATATAAAATACTTACTGTGCATAAAGTGCAGATTTTAGCCTAAATATGTATCTCTTTAATTATTTTAAATCTTAAGTATTTTCTAAATTCCAGGTCAAAACAAACAAACGAAATGAGAATAAATTTCAAAATAAATATTTATATCGAGTAATAACCAAAATATAAAAAAACACAATAAGAGAAAAATTGAAGATAAATAGGATTGACACGTGAACGTAAACTTCTCATAACCATAATTAATTTTTAAATTGTTAAATCATGATATAAAACTGAGTTAATTTTTAATTTTTAAATTTTTTCAATTTTTTAAATCATTATGGTTATGTTAAATCATGACCATAATCAATTTTAAATTGTTTATTTGTATTTGAAAAACTTAAAATATTGTTTTAAAATAATTTAAAATTTAACTTATTTTTTATAAAATTATTTAATAAATATAATTTTTAAAAAATATAATTTTTAATATTATTAGACAAATAAATAAATTATATTAAATTAGTTTTGAAACTTTATATATTTTAAATGCAAATATTTTACAAACTGCTTCTTACAAAATATTAGGGAATTCGCTAATACTCTACCAATCAAGCCAAGTGATACTCCATTTATTTTCCATCACACGAACACTGAAAAGTGAAAAGATATATGAAATCGGGTCCATTAAATTCTAAGATTTGATCAACAGTTCTAATTACAATTGTTTCCGATCCTACATATAGATAATTATATAAAAATTCCAAAATTATAAAATTTCAAATACATATAAAAACAACCATATGTAAATTTTAAATTTGTCAATACTAAAATTTTATATTTTAATTACATATATTCACCCTGCGCAAGGTGCATGTCTTATCCTAATTAGTCTTTATACATCAATTTAAGAATATTTGGTATCCTGTTATAATTTGGTTTACGGAAAACTACTATGAATTTTTTGATATAAAAATCAAATAGCCACAAGTTTTGAGAACAGATTGATTAAGCTCTCTCGGAATTTTGATTATTTATAAGAGAAAATTACTAGAATGTTATAGAAAAGTTGGTATAGTACTAGAATAACATACATTTTCTAAAGAGTATTAAAATGTTTTTAGACTCCTAGTAAATTACAATACACTCTTGTTTAATTTTGTTAGTATTGATACAAATTTTAATTATTAAATCCACATCATAATTAGGCAATCCACGTCACTAATTCGTGTCATCAACAGTTACACTGGAAAATCAACCGTCCCATATCTCCGGTGAATAAAATAAAAGTCATAATGTCACAACTTCTTTGTCACAACTTTCGTTAAACCCTAACCGAGTACGAAATCACGAAATCATCTTCGTCACAACTAATACTCTCGTATCGAACTGTTTCTGATATCGTAAATCATCTCTGTTATCATCTTCGTCGACCTCGTTAAACCCTAACCGTCTCCGATATCATCTTCGTCGACATCCTTTTCTCCGCAAAAGTTTCGACACAATCGTATCTACGACATCATCTTCTCTGGTATGTTGTGGCTGAGTTTGATTTATATTGTGACCGAGTTTGATTTACGACGTGGCTGAGTTATAGATTATGTTGTAACTGAGTTATTGTATAGTGTGGCTGAGTTGAGTTTGATTTACGTTGTGAAAATATAGTTTTCCATTTCGACATATTTATAGATTATGTTATAGCTGAGTTATTGATTATGATCCGGCTGAGTTATTGATTATGTTTTGGCTGAGTTATTGATTACTGTGGCTGAGT